ATTGTAACGACTAATGCTTCATTCTGTCTCTTTATCTGCGCGTTTGTCTTTGCCAGTAACTCTGGTCACTTTCGAATTAACGATTTTTTGCTATTTTTCACTCCTTTACTTTTGTTAAATTATTTTTTTGTTTAATTTATTTTTATTCTTGCAAAAAAGTGGGGGGGCTAAAGCCCCCCCAGCCCCTCCCTCTGCGCGGTCCCTGAAGTTTGAAGACTATAAGCATGATCATTACCATAAGCGTGCAAGGGAATCCGGATTCCGGAATGCGGTAAAATTTTACTTGTTGAATCCGAAATCCAGGAATTTTTGCTTTTGGAATCCAGAATCCTGGACTTTGGAATCCGGAATGCACTAATGACTGGAATCTGGTATCCAACAATCAGGAATCCACTGACTGGAATCCAGAATCCATCTTGGATCCCCTTACATGGGCGAATAAGCTAGTTGTAAGCCATAGAACCAGATCCGCAATTGGCCTGATATCCGATAGAGTCAGTCAAGTTTACTGCTAATTCATTGAGAATTTCTTAAATCAAGAAATGAGCAGACAACTATCCGAAGCAGTCCTTATGAACGAAACTGACAAGAATCTTATTTTTCTGTAGATGTACATGAACATATAGCCTACCACGCGTGGGAGGCTAACATGAACAGTGAACGACAAGTTCGAGGATAGCTTGGTCATAGGTGGTGCAAATTAGCGAATCCCGTTTGCCGTAACATGTGATTATAAATCTGGTTGAAAGGTTGATTTAGCAAAGAGAACTCAAGCCTTCGAGCAAGCTCTCCATTCGGGCGAGTGAAGCGAGCCGCGCGAGGACGGACTTTTCCAGGCCCTCGCAACGCGTCTTTTCTCGCGTGCCGCTCGCGCCTTAACTTTTCACGATATCACCCAAATGGAGAGCTTGGTCGTAGACTAAGAGAACTCCACGTCAAATGAGGACGCAAAAGCGCACGGAAAGCACTGAAAGGACTGAACGTTACTTTGCTGCTCTGCCATTAGTCAAGGCAACTTTTAGCGCGCGCCTTCGTCACTGTCATCCAGGGCGGATAACCTTTACAGGTTATCCGCCCTGCTGTCATCTGAACAGGTCCAGTGCTATGGGCCGCTGAGTTCAGTTAGTCCCTCGTTTATCTTTGATCATAGCCTCAGTAAAAACTTCCCCCGCAAAACCATTCAAATCTGACTAAAATTCGTCTCTTTTACCTGCAAGAATGACAATCCATCACATTTATTTTGATCTTATAAGGGTAAATATTCTACGTAGTTTTTTAACAAAGAAGAACCTTTTCCCTATCTGCTCGTATATTTCTTGAAAATCGACGGTCACACACTCACATAGTTAACGAAGCCTTCTTGTGAGCTCGGTTAAACAATCCCCACCATCCAGAGTCATCCGTTTTCCTTTGTTATTAATTATCGGCTTTGTAGTGTTTTTCGGTTAAAACAAGCCGATGTTAGTTGTAACCTTCATGTATGATCCGGGCAGTATATGTTCCCATACATGAAGTACCTACCGGAAAACTAGGATCCAGTCTCCCTGGCTGCAGTGACCGACGTCGATAGGAGATCTGGGTACAAGATTAAGACCAAAATGGAAGATGGCGGGTAGCGGGAGTGTGGTCGAACAGGTTGCTCTTTTAAAATGCCAAGAATTTGAACTGTTCAAAGCAAATCTTAAGGAGCGCAGAACCCACATTAAAAAGGGATAAAACGGAAGTGCAAAACCTCGTCATTCCTGAAACTTTATATGGTTTTAAGTCTATTAACAACTGAAAACGTCCGACGGATTAAGCTGCATCATACGGCCGAAAATGAGGTCAGTTGTCACCGAGTTATCATATTGTTTCAGCGAATTTAATTCAATCCTAAGGTGTAACATCAATGTACGCTGTATTGTATAATGTTTTCATTATAACTAAGGAAAGAACTTTCTGACTCATGTAGAGTCAATATCTTAATTATCGGTGTTGCTTTGACAAAAATATGGAATCTGGAATACGGGAATCCGGAATCCTTCCAATACAATAATTATTGGATATGACCGAGTATCCTATGAAAAAATATGCAGAGGGAGGTGTTACAGCACTTACTACTTAAGTAAGGATATTGAACGCATTCAAAAACGTGCACTATCAATTATTTCGCCAGGCCTTTCTTACGATGACAGCCTGTCAATGTTCAACATGGCATCTTTAGAGGACAGACGCATAGATCAATGTGAAAAACTGTCTGATTCTATTGTATCTAATCCAGATCATAAGTTGCATCATTTTCTCCCTCCCAAGAACTATTGTCATTATAACTTCGGAAGACGACGCCAATTTGCAAATCCAGTCATGCGTAGCAAGCGTTTTTCTAGCACATTTCTGCCATCTATGTGCAGGCATTAGCAGTTTTTGTATAAAGCTTAATTCATCTAAAGTAAAATTTTTATAAATTAGAATTCTAAAGTATAATATTGTAGATCTTTTTTTGTTGTTTTTTTTGTTGTTTTTTTTTTTAAATCAGTACATTTTCATATTTTAAGTTTTTTATCAATTGTATTTGTAAATTCATGCAATTCAGCCTTGGAGGGCTGCCATATGATTTGAATTAAAGCTATCTATCGATCTATCTATCTATCTATCAGGTATGGGAACCATAACAGTTATTGGATGAGGTTGAGGAAAATAGAATGATTTGTCGGTGCCGAGCAGTTCAATTATTTGCTGAAGCGAAAAACTGAGGCAAATAAATGATCTGCAAGATGCTGAAAAATCATCATATTTTGTGATAACTGAGTTCAAATTATTGTTTTATCTTTTGATCACCAAATTTGTTTTTTAATGAATATCTTTGGGGAGCAAAGCAATTTGCCATTTCCATGCAAGAGCGATCCCTAGAAGAAGAAGAGCATGATTTCATTTACGTATGAGTGGAATGTTATTGGCAGTCAAACACAGTTGGAAAATGTTGCACAGAAGCAGACCTTTATTTCTAGGCAGTTACTTGCAGTTCACGTGGTGCGCTCTTGGCCAATGAAAAAAACCTTGTATCAAAATTAATGATATAGGACTAATTTACATATGAAAAACGAAAAGGTTTGTATCAAAATAAAGTCAAGTGGTAAGACCACCTGACTTGTAATCTGGAGGCTCCAAATTCAATTTCCGGCCTGACCAGACCGACAAATCCCCAGTCATGTTTGTAAATAACCAAATGGTTTGTCTCTTGTCAGATGGGATTTTTTACCCTGTTATGTTCAGGATAGGTAATCACTTGATTTCTAGTCTATTTCTAGTCTATAAATGAGCATTATGTAAATTTTTCAAAGACTAACAAAGGTGCACGAGCCCATAGGGCTGTACTTTGTGGTCTTTGAAAAATCAGAAACCATCTGTAACTGCACAAGTGTTACAAAAATTCAGTTAATATTTTCCCTTGCGTTAAAAGATGAACTGCATTGTGCTTTTGGCTTTGGTTTTCTGAAGGGTCTGGCTTTTTATCCCTTTTTGCTCGGAAACTGGGCAGAGAATTATCGGAAATAGGGATAAGTCTTTTCTGCCCACTGGAGCAAAGACCTGGAAATAGAGATCTTGTCATACATGAACCTAGACATGAAATGGCCTAGTTTGCCATGAGTCCTTTGTAGCTCAGTGGCTAGAGCGTCTGACAAGGGTGTGGAAGGTCATAGGTTCAATCCCTGTCGGGGAATCAGATTTTTTCTTTGTCCCGCGCTCGTGACATGATG